AGGGATTCATTAGAGTTATTTTAGCACTATATGTAAAAATAATACCACTGTATGTAAATGATTTTGTAAATGACTGTTATTTGTTTAAAGTTCCACAGAAACAGACTGTTCCAGTTGCACCAAGAACTCGAATTAGCCCAGAAGAAACTCATTTAGAAGTAATCCATGTGCAAAACAGACTGCCTGCTCTGAGTTCTCAACTTCAAGTAGAAGAGCTGAAGGAGCAGACAGCTGAAGGAATTCAAGGTGTCTGATAATGTCCTTTAAAAATTTATACCAAGGAATGTCATTTTACAACAAGCTGAGCAGAAAACAGAAATGGTGTTCATCAAGAGTTGCATGTAGAAATGCCTTGAAAACCAAGAAGCTTTCTAAAGCATGGAAGTAAAATAGATACACATACACAGATATTTAGATTGTTGAGTAAAGTTTTGTCTGAGTTAGATTTTTGTTACATCGGCTCACAGTTGTGCTTAAGGAATGGTAAACATTCGTTATTAAAAAAATTATTTTTCAGTCTCTTATTTCTCATGTAGATGTGTTTGGAATCTTTCAGCCAACATAAAATAGTTGAAATTGTGTCTGTAAAAAGTATATAGGAAGGAGCTTTATTGGTCTTTGGAGTAATGTACAGAAAATATTTATGTTAAATATTTTTACTCTTTTGACATTGAAGTGGAAATGACTGCTTGCTTAGGAAACCTACAGAAAGCAAAATATTTTTTTTCAAATTGTAAATCAGATGGAGAGCAGTGCTACTCTGATTTTTTTTTTCCACCTCCTTTGAGAAGACCATAAGGTAGTTCCTTGTAGTTAGTTGCTTTCCCGTGTGTGTTCTCTGAGTAGTCCACACCTCTACAAATGAGGAGGAAGAACTTGGTCTTTATAAGTTGCCGTTCCCACAGACCTCATTTGTACGGAGCAATGATTAGGGGAAAGACTAGCTGCTTTCAGTGTTTAGGTTTTGCCATGGTGTCTCGCTGGAGAAAACTTGTTACTGTTTCTGAAACAATGAGAAGGGGGTTCATAACAATGAGAGCTGTGCTTTTTTTGTTAGAACTATGGAGGTTTGGGGGGGTTTGTTTGCTTGTTTTGGTTCGGTTTTTTAGCAAAGGAATTAGAAGAGCATGCTCGAAGTTTTTTAGTTTCATTTTGACATGGAGTAAAATAGGCTTCTAATTACTGGGTTTTTTAGGACCTGAACCAAAGGAGCTCTCTTCTCGGCTCCAGATCGATCCTGTGATTGAAGATGCTTTGCAGTTGACTCAAGGTCAGGTCTTGTAATCTTTTATTCCTAAGTAAAAATTGCTAGTTTTCAAATTGAACACTGCTGGTCAGTGAATGTTAAAATGTAACTTCATTTTCAATTAATTATACTGATGAGTATTTTCTAATTTCTACATCTCTAAGGACTAAAAGCGTTACATCAGTAGGTGTTCAAAGCTTGAGAGATTTTGTGGTCGTGTGGACTCTCTTCAATGCTGTTTCACCATGGCCTTTCCAGTAACAAAAGTTGCCTGGTCCGGCCTAATGTGGCTCCTGTTGATCCACTTCTGTGGCATAAGCAGGGAAGTAAAAGTGTTTTCTGGAACCTACTAGTAAGAAATTAAAAAAATATATATTGGCAATGTAAATTGATACTGAAAATAGGCTATAAGTGAAGAGTACAAATACAACTTTTTTTATCTTTTCTATGTAATTTTTCTCCCAATTCAGATTACTATGATGCAGAATCTATGGTCCATACAGATACCAGGTCATTTATCCTGAAGAAACCCAAGTTATCTGAGGAAATAATGCCACAGAATCAGCAACTTGGAAAGAGGGCTACAGAAGCAGTTCGAGTACTCTCGGGTCGTCTGATACAGACACGGTAAAAAGTTACTACTTTTAGGACTGCTACTGGCCAGAATGCTTGACCGTGCTTTGGATGGAATCATTCAGTCATAGCTGTGCTTTGTCAGTCCAGTCACGGTCTGTGATGTTACAGGAAAGAAACTGCCGTTGAATAGCAGAGGAAGACAAGCAGAGGCAAAAAACCTCCCAAAAATCCTTTTAAATAGCAGATAATTCCCAGGGTCAGCTGTAGCTTGAGCATGTCTTTGATTTGCAAGAAAGAAGAAGGAGGAACTGAAAAGTAGTGCTCTTTTTTTGTCCTAGCTGTACCAACCAAATCCTTAAAAAGTTTAATCTCTTTCCTTTTTGTAAATGAGCTTTCAGATTTGTCTGTTGAGCACAATGCAACAAACTGAAACATACCTGCCAGATACTCTGCAGTGTGCTATGGAAAGCTCTGGGTGTTTACTAGTGCTTCAGACAGACTAGAGGGCAAACTGTTAAATGGAGTGCATTAGTAGTATTAAGGTTTGTTACTGCATGACGCTCCATAGATAAGCTTGTGCTACTTTTAGGTACTAGTGCAGCTCACTTTTACTGAAATCTCTCGAGTTAGAAAAATCTATTTTTACTATATTTCTTTGTTTGATAGAGACCAGCTCGCACAGCCAGAGAAACCTGCCAGTCCCAAGTTCATTGTGACGCTGGATGGTGTGCCCAGTCCGCCAGGATACCTTTCTGATCAAGAAGAGGAAGAGATGTGTCTAACTGAAGGATTAAAGCCAGTTACCCAAAATGTGTGTGCAGGCAAAGGATTGAAAGGCCTTCGAGCACAGCAGATGCAAATTGTAACCAGGCAGCTAGAGAGCTGTGATGGTAATTATGCTTTCCAGCAGGATCTAAGGTTGATATGGTGGTTTGATTGTGGGTAGAACTCTTGGATATATCATTCTTAAGAAATCAAAGTGGTGGTGTTTATTCTTCAAATTGGAATGCTCTTTAGGCAAATGAAATGTGGTAGTTCAGAAAAGAAGCCTTTTTCTTGGTAAACTGGAGTGATACAGCACCTAGGTAATTCTCCACATTTCAGTATTGGTAAAATTTGGGTTTTTTTCTTTCGAGAATGTACTTTGTCTTCATTGCCAGAAATTTGCACTTCTGTTGGCCTGTTATCATTTGTCCCCATGCGAATGGACAGGAGATTTTACAATTAACGTGCCGTGCCCTGAACTTCAGAAATATGTCAGGTGCTATTAATGTTTCTGTCTAGACTTGTTAATTATAAGGTGTTGGTAGAGTCAAATTGCTAGAAGCTCTGAAAGTAGAACTTAAACAGTGTGTGAGTTTACGTGAAACCTTGCATATCCAGGATACCTTTTGAATAACATGGGAAATCACTTGCTGAAGCATATGTGTGAATTGTTTAGAATGCTGACATGGTGATGAAAAATACAGAAGATATTGGTTTTTTATAGACATGTTGACTACTTGCCTTAAGGTCGTGCTTGGATTAATTTTTTTTACTTTTGATAGCAGCAGTGCATCCAAATTTTCTGAACTAAATAAAGAATAGTATTTGATGCTATAGAGAGAACTCTTGCATTTCATGGATCCAGCTGTAAATGTTTAATGCAATGATGAGAGAACCATGGGGGCAAAAGGAAAGATCTTTTAAGTCCATGTCCTTTCAGTCCCACTGGCTGCACAAGTACGCCTATCAGGTTGTCTTAAAGAAGAAAGGATTGTTACATATTTGTTGTCACTTTTTTACTAGTACAGTGAAATACTTGTTAGAGTACTACCCTTGCAAATCTGAGCTTTTACTAGTATAGTCTTCTTTTTTTTCTTTTCATTCCTTCATAGTGGAAATGGAAGAGATAAATGTGATGCAAAAACAGGAGAAGGTGCTTGAGCGCTGCAAGTACTGGCCTGCCTGTAAAAATGGAGACGAATGTGTGTACCATCACCCCACACTACCTTGCAAGTGAGTACTGCAAATCCACTTGACATGTTATTTTTGGTACTACAGATTTCCCCTCTGTGTTAGTAAATATTCCAAGGCAGTGTAAGTCTGTTAGAGTAGGATCGGAGCTCAATTATCACACCATAATTTCTTCTATTTGCTTCCCATCTACCATGTGTCAGAATGCAGGAATGTTTTTAATAAGCAGCGTCGTAGCTGTGCTCTGGCAGAAGGAAGCTTAGTTTAGCATACGGGCTGGTGGCTTTGTGTTGCTTAGAGATGTGGGAATCGGTGTCTTAAAACAGCAGGCACTCTTCTGCTAGCTGTCAAAACGCTTCGGAATGTGTTAGGCTACCAGCACGTCATAATGCAGTGATGAAAGCGAAGGCTAACTCCTGAACACGCGCTGTGCCTTTGACTGCTCTTCCACAGCCAGCAACAGTCTAGAAACCAATTTGTTTCAAGATAAATATTACCAGACATTAAAATTTTCTTTTGAAGTCCAGCATAACTAAATTCAAAATAACCCTTTCTCTTCAGTGAATGAACCATGTTACTGCAGGAATTCAGTGCCCTTCTGCACGATGGTCTGCATTCACAGTCCTTTTGTGACCCTGCACTCCACACAAAAAATACTAAGAATAATGTATCTTAGCTTGCAACAAGCAGCTTGCTACCAAACTCCCCTGAGCCTGAGGTAGTTCGGTTATTTACTGCATGTGAAGAGTGGCCACAGGGAAAACAAATCCCCAGCTGGTCGTGTACAGCCCGTGAGCCACACCGCTGGGCCTGGCTTTGGAAGTAACTCACACACGTGCGCAGGCTGAGTGACACTCTGGCTGTCATGCGCAACAGCTGGTTGGCAATTTTGCTCCAAGTATGGGCCGATGACTCAATTTCTTTTCTTTCAGAGTTTTTCCTAACTGCAAATTTGCTGACAAATGCTTGTTCATCCATCCCAACTGTAAATACGATGCAAAGTGCACTAAGCCAGACTGTCCTTATACTCACGCCAGTCGCCGAACCCCACATCCATCTTCTAAGCCAGGTGAGCACCTCTCGTTTTTCTGAGCTTTAAATGAAGGCACTGAAGGAAAAACAGTATTTTTGGAAGCAGAACCTGACAGGGGTGAAAACATAATTTTTTGCTTGATTTGACCTTTTTCTTTCTTGGAGCTAGGTGAAGAATAATAACTGAGCGTTACTTCAAAAACTGTTACCAGAAAAATCCCTGCACACTTTTATGGGAGAGCCTATATGAAATCTGTGCAAAGGCCAAAGTGGTGATTTGCACAAGCAGTCCCTTCTTCTAGATGGATTAGTCAGCATTGTGGTTTTACTCAGATTTGTTTCTTAAATCAGACACGTGTTGTTGCACCAAGAGTTTGTGGTACAAGTTGAAAATAGAGGTTTCTGTCTTTGCAGTGTCATTACAGAAAAAAATGCTCAGGAGTTAACCTGATGTAGTGACGAGGTGGCTTCCAGGGGTGAGGTTACCTGGTGAAGGCAAGAGCTATGTTTGGATTACACAGTGGTGTTCCTGAGCCCTTGAATGGTGCAGGGTGAAGGCCCTTTATAAACTGGGCCTTTATTCCAGCCAAATGGCAATCTTTGGAAGGGCTGTAAGCCTTAGTGGGTGGTGCGATGCAGTTTTGGTACTTTGCCAGAAGGGAGAGTACAACACGCTGATCTCTCTCGTTCCAGCAGCTCCTCCCCGCTCCCGGGAAGTGCACTGCCCCTGCTTTGCAGGCCGGTTAGCTTCAGCTCGGACAGGGCTGCTGCTGGCTGCCTTTACCTTGGAAGGTCTCTGCCTACCAGCATCTCCACTTAATTTGTTGGAAGCGTTGCCATGACCCTGGCACCTTCTGTGCTCCAGTGGTGAAGAACTGAGACTAACAATTGCCTGATAGTCTTGTTCCACCCCAGGATGAGATGCGCTTAGTGCGTTGTGATACGCTTCCCACATTTCTTGCAGAACTTTGGTGTGTTATAAAACATTATTTCTTGCAGAAGGATTGATAGTATTTAAGTTTGTTCGGAACTGTATTGAAAAAGCAATTTATTCTGATCAAGACTTACTTCCTATTCTTTTCTTTCCTATTAGCACCGCTCCCCACACCATCTATAGCCTCCAGTGGTCCGCTGTGCAAGTTTTTTCCTGCTTGTAAGAAAATGGAGTGTCCATTTTATCACCCCAAAGTAAGAATTATCCTCTATCCCTTCCATTCTAGAAAGTTACTTGAAGTACGTTACTTTGGGTCAGGAAATGTCACTAGCACTTCACACTTTTGGTTTTTACTTCTCATATTTTCACTTCAGCTCAGAAACAGAATATGCAGAAGCAGTGACTTAACGAATTTGGAAAATGGTATTTTTAAATAATCTTTTTACCAGATGCTTCTGGAGAGTTTCAGACAAGCAGAGAACCCCTGCCCTTGACAAAACTCTGCCCAGCCAGGATGCTGGGGGCAGAGGACGACACCTTGTAGCCAATAAGGAAAGAATACATTTCAGACTCTTGACTGTTCATTCCGACATGCTGCTGTGTACAAGAACATTAAAGGTGGCCCAGTACCCAGGGATACACTGTCTATACAGTACAAGTGTTTGTAACTGGGGGTGCTCCTGTTCTATGGAATTGTGTACCTGCCTATTCTTAGGCCAGTAAATACGGGGCTCTCGCAAGCCCTAGTGCTGCAGAAGTGCCCATTCAATGTCCATTGAAACTGAACTTCACAAACCCTTCTCCCTGTCAGTGCAGGGATAGTTTGGGATCATCTAATTCCTAAGAAATACTTTTGACAAAGGATTTCCTTCTGTCATTGGGTTGAGGTGACTGTACAAGCCTACGTAGCTGTCGATTCAGCGATGTGCTGGATATGCCAGTCATGCACGTCTGCACGTACTGCGAGCTCGGTTGGCTCGTCCAGGAGTTCAGCCAACTTCCAGTGTCCTTTCTGACATGATTTCATTCTCAGCATTGCAGATTTAATACCCAGTGTACGAGACCAGACTGCACTTTTTACCACCCAACTATTGCCGTACCTCCACGCCACGCCTTGAAGTGGACTCGAACTCAAACCAGGTAAGGTACTTTTTTTTTTTATTAGTATTATTCTTTTATTTCTTGGTTAGGTTTAGAATCTGCATTGTGACTTATGTCACCAGTGTAATTTTACTCACAGGACTAATGTGTGATGAACAACAACATTTGTATGAAGAGAGATACCTGTTATAAGCATCTTTCTTTTAAAGAGAATTCTGTACTTTTTTTTTTTTTTAAGTAGTATAAACGTTAACTAGTGTGATGCAACCCTGAAAAACAAGTGCCCTGCATCTAGGATATGGCAGAGCTGCTAGAATGCTGACCTGAACGTGTGGTGTTTACTGAGTTCTATATGAATAACACTGAAAATCCAACACCAGCTCTTAGTTTACTCTTGCTTTACCTTGTGCCCAAACTGTCTTTTCCACAATGTTCAGCTGTTTCTCAGAGTGTTTCTGGCACTTACCTGAATTGTTTCTCTCTTTACCCTCAGTGAATGATTATGATACAACTAGGGACTGAACTTTGCCTCCTTCAGACAGCAGCGGAAAGAAAGATGAACCACGAGGAGCACAGGATGTTAGAAAAAATTCATGCAGTTTGAACTTTTAATATACGTTGTTTTCATAAAATGAAGTTGATTGCCTACTTGAAATGTCTCTAATTTTCCAAGTTTGTAAGTCTGAGCAATTTTACATTTTTTTTTACACTGTAAGAAGAAAATGTCTGTGTGAGAAAAGTTTTTCTTTAAATTCCATTAAAAACTTTCAAAGCACATCTTGTCTTCTGCTTGGGTAATGTTTCTTGCTTAAGATGAAGTAGGTGGTGTAAGTGTAGCATCAGGAGCTCTGTTATTCCCATCTGGGGATGGTACTAGAGGTGTTCTTGGCCAGCAGGTGTTTGGTACACAGTTGAACCAGTGTCCTGGCAAATGGGGACTGAACTCTTTGCCTGCTTGCAGGGAAAAAAAAAGTGTAAAGGTTTTGTCTTTTGTTGTTTGTTTTTGTTGGGGTTTTTTTTTCTTTCCCCCGTAGTAAGTCATCTTGCTCCTGCTACTTTCCTCCAACAGGGAAAAAAGCAAAGACAAGGGAAGAAAAATGCTTCCTAAGAGCAATTAAAGAGTTAATGGCATAGTGCTCCATTTAAAAAGTCTGTGAAGTTAAAGCCCGCTTCACCTGAAGTTGTTTGGGATGTCACCATTTACACCAGGACAGAAGGTCCTCGCTG